TCCAACCCGCCGATCCGATCAGGTGATTATTTACTAATTTCATTTTTAAGATTTCGAGATAATTATTTATATATATCAGTGAAATGATGTTTTTGAAATGATTAATTAATAATTCGGAGTGATGTCCTTTCAATGTGTTAAAAAGGGGAGACAAATAATGTAATGGATAATGCCATCGATCCTTGTCGAATTTGATTTGTTCCCCCCTCCTTCTGTTTATCTGCTTAACAACTAATTTCTATAAACTAAATAGATAATAAACTCAAAATCTCCATTTATAAATTATAATTTTTTTGGGTGTAAATTATAAATTATAATTTTGCCATGACAAGACAAGAGCATAGATCACTTGTTCGAAGGTTGTAATTTTCGGTATATATAGCTTAAACCCAAAAACCACCAAATTTAAGGTAAAATTTGCCTTTTAGAAAAATAATAAACCAAAATTATTTCGGTCTACTTTGATATTTGGTCTTTATTTCAAATATTTTTGCAATACGCGGCATGAATCTCATTTTCATTCTTGTATTAGCCAATTACAATTTGACAGGTGTCATCTACTACATTTGCGCCACTTTTGTAATTTGTTTTGTTTTAAATATTCCTATAATTCGATTAATGTATTAAAGAAATCATTCATTGTATTTTTGGGATTATTTTTTTTGGTGTTTTTTGTTTTGTATACGTCATTATAGAAATCTTCGGTTGCAGTATGCTGTCTAAGTATAGTTGATTTATTTTTTATACAACGTTCGAAAATTCGAATTCATAACCATTTTACTATTGGTGAATTATCCTTTTTTTTAACGTATTGGGATGTGCAATAATTTTTGTAATGCATATATTATTTTATTTTATGTAACATACCTCGAACGAGATATCGTTGGGTCAAACATCACAATCGAAGGCATATTATATAATATATTCTTCACCAATAACAAGGCGACACATATGTCAGTCCTAGATCTGACGGCTAATATGGCTCAACAACTTTAGAACCTAAAACGATATCGTTTTTATTCGTCTTCCTAATACGACGCCGTTTCTATTCGTCGTGTACAAGTTAAAATCCGACGTCGTTTCTTCCATGAGAGCGTCGACGATTTCCCGCTCAATCTCTGCGACGATTCCTTCTCCTTCTCCTTCTTCAGCTTTCTTCGTCTCCGGCAGATTCCCGGAGAACAAAGTATCTATCTCTTCTGGATTTGGGAAACTCGGTCGTGTGTAATTTTCTATGGATAAACAAATTTTTCTGACGAGTTCCGACCCATTGTAGTTCCGGCGATGTTTCGTGTGCGGATTGAGGATACCGACCATAATCTCGTTCACCAGATCGAACAACAGTCTCCGATTGCACGGTAAACTCAATGATCCAGACATTCTTTGTCCTGAATGCTCAAGGCTTCGGAAAATAGAAAGATCTAGCGGATAACGTTCGGAGGACAATTTTGCAGAGGAAACGGGTGAGTCGGTGTCTGTTATGCCTGTGTAGCTCAATATTCTGGTGGCGTACTCGTTTTCGACTTTGGTTCCTCCTGTAGCTGTGGAGGTGGCTGCAATGGCGGTTGTCTCGTCCAAATCTGGGTTTCGAGCTACTTGCAGGAGAATCTCCTTGTGTTTGTACGTTTGATTGAAGCGTATTAAGGGCTTTGAACTCCGTTCCGGTCCTCGAGACTGTGATTCAATCACATTTCCACATTTGGAAAAAGGAGATTAATCAGAGCTTGAAAACTTTGGTGAAGAGAGAACAAAAAACGAATGTCATCTGGTACCTGTTTCTGAGGAAGTTTTGTGGCAGGAGAAGGGATTTTCTTCACAGGGACAGTTGATGGCGCAGAGATGTTTGTAAGATCATTCAAAACATGGGTTTTCTTCTTGTTTCTCTGATGATTATAGCAATCGGCTTTCGAGTTTCTTGATGTCATAAAGAAGATCTCTTCCTGCTTGTTCCGAATGCCGCCGGATGTTAGAGAAGGCCTTTTTGATATTGGATTTGACATTGTTTCACCATTCTCCTCCTTGTATCTCTTGATGGATCTCACCTGCTGATGTTTCACTCTTTTCAGACTTTCTTCTACCCTTGGGGGTATCTTATGGTGCTGAGGGATTTGATCCGTTCTTGCCATAGACGGGGATAGATCTCTCTGATTGATGCTTGGTTTATTTTCCTTTTCTGGGAATCTGTCTCTTGGTGAGCAAGAAATTGGAGAGTTTCTCCTAAGTTCGCAGTCCTTTCTTCCTGGCTCTGCCTCTCTGTTCTTGACTGTGCTCGTTATATCCATACCAACTCTCCTGGTGATCACCCTCTCCTTAATTTGATTCAGTATCTGCTTGGCATAATCTCGGGGACTCTGACTCTCCTCTTCTCGCGTCAACTCTTTCGGTCTCGAAAACCCAAATTCCTCGTGCTTATTCTCTTTGTTTAGCTGAAGAGAGAGGCGATGAATGTCGAAGTCCGATTTCCGAGCAGAGGAGACCCTGGGGCTCTCGGGAACGGACCTAGTCCCAGTGGTTTTGCCATTCAAGGAGAGTTTATGGGCGGGTAATCTACTTTTTGTTCTGTGACTTGACATTGCATGAAGGCCTGGTGATGAATGATTAAGGTTTATGTGATCAGGAAGAAGATCGAGACCCATTAGTCGAGCCACCAAACTTGGTGTCTTGGTGCCCGGAGAAGTGCCCATTTTAGACGAAGAAAATGATGTTTCCATGGCCAGAGGTCTGAGTTTCAATCTTGAGTCTCCAGCATCTGTTTTCACTCTAATGCCCATCTAGCATTTTAAAACCATTTCAGCAGATTGGCTCAACCAATGCTTTGTGTATAGAATCAAAAGATTAGTATACTGAGATTAGTGTGTCACTCACTGGGATATTCACAATTTCTCTGTCCCTGTCCTTGCAGGTTGATGAAAAGGGAGGCTCCTCCGTTAACTCCAAGCTGTTTCTTGGTGGCTGCAACCCTAAAATTGTCAAAAACACTCCTCTGTTATACACAGTCTCTTGCAAACCCCAAGGAGCTTTTATGCCACGGACCACGGTAATGGATTCATCTCTGAAAACTTGTATATATCTGAGGGAAATGTCATAGCCACCATGCATTTACTAGTGAGAGAGCAATAAAGAATTGGCCGAGTAGGTTGCGTAAACTTCCATTTCAATCAAACAGGGTTCAAACCTCTCCAAATGAGAGAGAAAGGGAGTACCTTTTGGATGCTCGGGGAGAGAATCAATGGTGGGATGGTGGTGATGTGAAGGAAAGTAAAAATGGTGGAAATCCAAGAATTGGAACAGAGCAGCCATGCAACCAGAAGCTGCATTTCTACTGTGAGTATTGCGGCTCTCGTGTCTTCTGATTTTTCTCGTTGAGTTATACGAGGAAACTTCTCTTCCTCTTCCATCACCACCGCCGCCGCCGCCGCCGTTAACGTCCTTGACGCCGTTACCGCCGCCGAGCCTGTACCAGTTTCTTCCCATTTCTGGCAGAAAGGCTTCTCCTTTCTGATACCCACTTTCTTTCACCTCTTACAAAACCGCAGGTGAAAAGGACTGACAGAGAGGATAACAAGTTTTGCAAAACAAGAACTTTGCAGTAGAAAAATCCAAGAAATGGTGCGTCTTGTTTTTTTTTCTTTCTAAATATCTATTTTCTTTTTTCTGTTTTCATTGGGGTTTGCCTATTTCGGTTTTGGGTTCCTGAGATTTTTTTTTTTATCAGACAGATATCGGAAGCAGCTCTGCAATTCTCTCTCTTTTGCATTGGGAATCGAACAAAAGGGTCAGGAAGAAGAATAATATTGGATAATTACTAGGAACAGGGAGGAGAGATGACGATATGGACACGCGTCATCATCATCACCATCTCTCAAACAGAGAGTATGATTCTCACCACACTTGATGTCTGAATTTGGGGTATCAAGTTTTGAACTTTAAAAAAACGGTTTTTTTTTTCTTGGGCATTTTCAAACTCGTGAACCCTCTTCCTCTCTTCCTTTTATTAATTTTCTTGTGGCAACAAAAAAAAAATCCATCACGTAGGCAGAATATTCTATCATATGTAAGCATGTTTCGTGGTACGGGTATTGGTAAATTTGCATAGAGTTTCATATTTTTTCAAACTTGAAGTTCTTATTGACCTCCAGTCCCTTGTATTATTTCTAGGGTTTTTTGTCTGTTCTTAATGTTCTTAACCCATATTTTGAATTTTTTTTTTGGTTTACGCCTATGTTTTTACTTTTCGAATTCTTCGCCTTTAGATGCTTACATGTATCTAAAAATATCATTTTTTAAAAGCACTTCCTACAATTCAACTTTCTTAAGCATTAATTCTAATGATTTTTTTTTTAAAGAGTATCGATGGTATATTGGGCGACAAAACTATATAACCTTATTCGTAATATGACTATGATAATTGATTATAGATTTTTTTATCCGATCATGATGGTAAAAGAGAGAGGCTCCCCCCAATTTGCCAAATCGATTAAATAAAAAAATCTCACTTGAGTGAGTGAGGAAAGGGACTTTAGGACTATTTTATCATTATGTGCCCTACCAAAGGGCTCGGCGTAATGAGAGTGATGACAACACAGCTCGTGACGAAAAGGACCACTTTCTTCGTCTTCTTCATCAAATCAATAATTCGTTTCCATTCACAATTTTTTTTTTTTGAATTTGATTACCACTCCGTAATCGTAAGCATCCGTATTCTCCTTCGATCGAATGTCACACTTGGAGGACCGGCTGTCGTGGTGGTTATTTATATAGGAAACGAATTTCTTTAATGGAGACGAAAATAACAAAAGAAAATTAAACCAAAACAAAAATAACAAGATACATGTTTTTCAAAAAGTCATATTAAACGGAATTCGAGACTTAGGTAGGAAAGGAGGTATAACAGAGCAGAGCCGAAAAAGGCCTTTACCGTCCAACAAAGAGATTCATGGTTCGAACCTTTCTCTCAAGTCTTAAAACTTAATAAATCATTATTAAAGGGAAGGTAGTGCCATTTTGATTCAGTTAAATAAAATTGCAAAAAATGAATAGGTACACATTTCCTAAAATAGAAAATTTCAAAACCAAATACAATGCGAGATTAATTGGAAAAAAAATCAGAAAAACGATTTTTTTATACGAAATTAACATTTTATCAAGAAAACCGATTTTGAAAAAAAAACAAATCGAATTCAATCCAATAAATAAAATTTTCCCAAAATAACAAAAATCCGATTATAAAAGTAACTAAATCAAATCCAGAAGTAAACCGAAAAACCCTGCCACCGTAATTCTGATCGCTCTTAACAGACCTCCTTCTTTGTACCCACCAAGAATATAAGTGCAAGATGATAATTTTTGAAAGGAGAAAGGTGGGATTTAGGCCCTAACTGACAGTCGGTCACCAACTTCACTCTTCCTTCTTCCTACGTGTATATTTCAACAGTAACAGTTAACAGTAGCAGGAAAAATAATTGATAATAACCTGGATTCTCTTGGAAGAGATCTCTTCCTCGATCCATTTCATGAATGTGACTGACCAACTCAACCCCCCCTCCTCCCTTTCCTTTTCCTCTCCGTACAATACATAATAATATTCATTCACCCTCTCTCCCCCTTTCTTCTCTTTCGGATTTTTCCCTACTTCCGGCTCGACCAGGACCCATCATTTATTACTACATGGACCTCTTTCTGTCTCGTTCCTTCGGTGAGGCAACAAATTTAAATAATAAAAAAAAAGAAGAGATTTTGGTGGCACCCCTATCTAGGGTTTTGTAAAATTTTTGAAATTTAAAAACCCTATTGCTCATCCTTGGATACCCACAAAACAAAAATGAGGAATTGCTTTGTTAGATGACGACATACAGCAAACTGAATAACTAGAATCTCCAGAATTGGGTGTATTGCTCTGGAGAGATGAATATTCTCTTCACCCCAAAAGACAGAACCCTAACTCGGATGGGGAAGAACCAACTCCTACACTTCAGGTTCAGATGTTCCTACCAACTAAGCCAAACATAACATAACTGCCTTATTTCATTTTATTTTTCCCTCTCTTTTGAATGTATGATGACAAGTATACAGGAAGAGATCTCTGAAGCCTTGCGGCCAACCAGACATGTAGAGGATGGAAATAGTGTACCTGAGATGAGTGAGCACGGTGAACAGATATAAAGATGCGGGCTTTTGGACGTGTAATAATATTTCAGGTTCTGCCATCCACGTCGAATCCGGCACCTGTCCAACCCGAACCCGAGGTCCCTCTTCCCTTGCCTATGGCTAAGAGTCCTCTACCCTTTCCCTGGATTTGAGTTTTCCTTTTCGCTTTGGATTCTCCCTCTGCCATTGGTGGCTTCTGTTCCTGGTCGCTCACAGCCTGTGTTCCTCCGCCTTTACCATGGTTTTGTGCATTTCCAGAATGAGTTTGGGTAGTGCCGGATGCCACTGAGCTAGTTACTGTAGATGTAGATGTCGTATTCTCTTGATTCCCGACCTAAATATGGAATATCAGGTTGGCAAATTTTAACATCTCTCATGTATCTGCTATAGTTTAGATAAGACATTAAACTGTTTCTGTAACATTATCGAAAATCTCATGGCCTACCCAATATATTTTAGTCACCCATGCATGAATCCCTTGGCTAGCACAAGTAGATACAGATGAACTGGAAACTCAAAAGCAAAGAGCACTCACTTGTGGAATAGAGACAGATGCTCTACTTGGATTTAGTGCTTCCAGTCGTTTTTTCAATTCCTCGAGTCTGGCGTACTGTGCATTACTGCTTTCTTGCACCTACAAAAGATGGTCATTTAAAGTGCTATCTTGGAAAAGAAGTAATCTATAGCATTGGTATTAAGCAATGAATACGTACCAGACTGTTTAAGTCTTCAGAAAGCTTATGCTTCACTGCTTCCTCATCCATCACAGCTTTTGCTGCTGCTTCATACGCCTTACAAAGATCAAAATTTTATCTTTCAGACCAGCAAGTAGCAAAGTCCCACAGATTTAAGAGGTAGTAGGACTAAAGAATCCCACTCATACAATTCACACCGTCTATGTCACAGTATGGACGAGGTGAAATGGTACACTCCAGTTTCAAGAAAATAAATATGTCCCAAAAGGATGATGGAAGCAAAAGCAGCCAGAAGTTCATTTTAGTTAATTATCTTCCAAAGTAAATCTGAGACAATGAGCGATAGTTTCTCTGTCAACCCAAATATCAATCAACTATTACTTGTTTTCCATCTGCCTAAATTGGCATCCATTTATTAGTTCAGTCGAACATGTAGAAATCCATCCTCAAGTTGACGAGAGAGATTTCGAGAATCCAAATTTCATGAAAATTGAAGATCTATAAACCACATTCTGTTTTGTGGACAATAACAAATTTCATTTCCGCCTGCAACTCCACATGCCACTTGAGGCCAACCAGAACATAACAGGAAAAAAGAGACAATTCCATCAAGTGGGACAAACCTTACGTGCTTGTTCTTCTCTCTGCTTGGCAGCACGAATCTTTTCATTTGATACTTCAATTTTCTTTCTCAAGAGTTCCAGTGCTTAAGATTTTCAGTACGAAAGATATGAGGAAGGTCAAATTAACGATTCTATGAAAGTAAACTACGACATTAACTACCAGAAAATGGTGATGTGCCAACCTGCCTTCTTAGGTCCAGCAGTAAGTTTCATCTCCATCGTAAGATTTGAGAGTTCTCTTTCAACATCCCTTATTTTGGAATAATTCTGCTCAATGTATCTGTTAAAACGAAACATAGAAGCTCAGTACATGGAAGTTGCAGCCTCTTCTCTATATAATGACATTCACGAGAGGTGCTGGTGGCAAATCGGCATTCTGATCTTAGAACAAAATTTTACAATCTCCTAAACGCCGATTCAACAATCCCTCAAGTTGATTCCCCCAACCAAAGTCTCTACCTTAGTTAACTTGCAGTGACATACTAAGAAGACGATGAAAAGATCATACCAGCACTTTGAACCCCACAGCCCACCACACCTTTGACTACATAATCATGTTCTAACATCAGATCAAATTTGGCATTCCTTAATCAACCTCGAACTGTTGATGTAAAAACATAACTACACAACATCTTATGTATGTTGCCTGAAAATCCTCAAAACTTAGCAAGCCAAAGGAAGGTTTCAGAAATCATTCCCAAATTTCTCAATTTCCTGTAATTTGATCGACTGAAGGATCAGTTGTTTCCACCATCAAATCACTTCATCTTAAAGAAACACGACGAGCATACTCCCACAAAACCCAAATGAATTCTACTGACACATGAAAGCATGAGATCAAACACCGAGAAAAATTCACCTAGAGCACTAGTTGGACGTTAGATTAATCAATCGATTGAGCATCTCTGATCAATGCAATCACTCAATTCCTCCAAAAAACAAAATCGATCTAGTAAAATCCAGCATTAGAAAAGCGATGCTTACTTCTTCAATTGAAGCTGCTCTTCCTCGATCATCTGATGCGCAAATTCACCAAAAAAGACAAACAAATCGTGTTCAATAAAACAGATCATACGGTCAAATGCATTAGACTCATCAACAGAAAAACATACCCTCTCTGTGTAGGCGATTACAGGTGCTTCTCTCGCGAGGCCATCAGGCCCGATCTCAGGCATCAGCTTAGGATCTGAAGCCATGATCTTCTCCTTCTACTTCGAATCTACCCTCGAAGATACAACAAAACGATTCTCCGGTTTCAACTTCCTCGGAATTGAATTTCTACACAACACATGAACTTTCCACCATTACCAAGAGCATGTTTCGCATTTCGCTGCCATGGACATGCCTCGCGCTTGGTTTATCGTCCCAGATTTTGATGGCCTAGAGGGAAGCGAACACACGTTTAGTGCTCCGTCTTAACGCCGTTAGCTTGCAAATGACTATTATACCCCTATCTAGTTCATGCATGTAGCACCACATGCTACGCACGTTGTTTTCATATAAATCGGCGGACTCCTATAATCCGGATTTGTTTTTTTAATAATAAAATAAAATAATCCTAAATTAAGGGGCTGAATACGGAGATTTTACGATATCGAGAAATAACTAAAAAAGTCTTTGTAAATCTTCTTTTACCATTTGAATTCCCCAGATGCAGCTTGGAAAAGATACCATGAGGTTTGTCGCGTTGAAATCGAGAGTGCATGTGGTTTTAAGCGCTAACAAACGGCAAACAGTTTAGTAGATAATATTTATATTTTTTATTTAAGTTTAATATTATAGTTCGTAAGCTTCTCTTTTGTTCTGTATAATAAATATGTTTTCTTATCAATGAAAAATTTTGAAGGAGAAATTATCATGTGCGTATTATATATATCATCAATTTCTTATTAGAAAAACATCATTAAAAGTTTTCCTTTTTTTTACATATGCAGTCAAGGATTTGAAATTGCTTGGAGGATGTGAGAGTAATAAATTATTGTTTTGAATGTCCAATTTCTATAGTTTTGTGAGAAATATATATACATTCACATAGAATGTGGGTTGTGATTTAAAATAAACTCCAAAAAAATTGATTTTCTTCCCAAGATATAAATCAAAAAGTTCATAATGATATTAAGATATTTTCAACCATGCAATATAATTGATAAAATGCGATTTCCTTTCTAATTATTTCAAGGATTATATGTATGTATATATTCGCCGTTTTAAGGAGTGCATTTATAATGCAGAATATTTCACATCAGATGAAATACCGAAAAGTTTCAAGGATATATTTACATCTATAATAGATTTATATTACATCACTCAATTGTCAATCATAATATAATAGATCACAATCAAACGCAAATTACCATTATCAAAGAACGAATCGGGTAACAATTTTTTTTTTTACGATGAAATGGATTTTGTTACCATGTCGTTGATTCTTTATGGTTAATAGAAAAATTTTTCTATGACAAAGAAATTGTTGCAATGTCGTGTTTGGACAACAAAAATCATAGTTGTGTTGAAGATACCATAGATGCTTTATCACCATCACATCTTACATTTTAAAGCCGTAGATATCTAAAATATGCATAGTTTTTTAATTAAAAAAAAAGTTAAAGATAAATGATCTTAAGGAGCTTACATAGTTTAAAAGAAGAAATTTTTTCTAACCTCTAATTTAATTTGTACACCTTTTTCGATTGGAAACCATAATTTGATAGTAATTTTATAGATCTTAAGGAGCTTATTCGTTACAATTATGATCAGATTTTGATAATAATCTTATACATTTATTACTCATATTCCAATAGCAATGATCTGAAAATTAATTATTCGTTATAAATGGGGTTGTAAGTAACAAAAAATATTTGAATATTATAATTAACGACGACAAAAAAAAAATGAACGACAGAGAAAAGAGGAACTCGCTCGAGGACACGCAAGCCTATGAGTCTAGATAAGCGTTATCGTACGTACATGTGGCACTCAAAGATTCACGCAACGGACTCTCTCCCCTGTTTAGTTTGCTATTTACAATTATACCCCTCTCTCTCTCCTCCCAGATCTTCGTCCTCTCACCCACACCCTCACTCCAAACGCGACGCACTTCGAGCGATAGAGCAAACGATCAGTGATCGTAGATCGATCGTTGAGCCGAGGAGGATCAGAAGCATCAATGACGACGTCGAGCTGTGCGAGAATGGACACCGTCTTTCTGTGTTCGAGGTTCGGTGTCAAGTCATTGCCGTTTTCGTCGTCTTCACTTCTCTCTTCCTTTCCTGTGTTTACTTCGGCGATTCGACTTCGTGCGAAGACGAGTTCTGGATTTCATTCGGTCAGAGCCTCCTCATCTTCCTCTTCTTCCTCGTCAGCGGCTGCCGTCGCCGGAGCTCAAGGCATTAAGGTTGTTATCCTCCTCCTCCTCCTCCTGTTTCTGTTTTTTTTTCCTCAGATGTTTCTTCGTTTTCGGATTTCTCAGATTAAATCGGTGCCGACGAAGCCAATCGAGGGACAGAAGACTGGAACGAGCGGCCTCCGGAAGAAGGTATTACGTAGTCAATGTTTTTACTTGAGACTGAATTCGATAATAAGAAACAAATTGAATTTGCTTGCGTCCTGTTTCTGTTTCTTGCTCACGTAAACGAGAAGAATAAATCAGACTAAGTATCGGTGATGCATTTTATAGGATAGTAACTGTTCAGTTTAAGTGAATTCACTGGAGCAGTTTTTCTGTAATTCATCTAATTTTGTCAGTCTTCAACGACACGGAATTACACATTGTGATTCTCGCAGTTCTACTGATTATGTCTTGGAAAAAGCAGAGCGGATTTGAGATGATATTTTACAAATCACAAGTTTTAGGAAGATTTTGGTAATATAAGTTGATCTGATTTCTTGTTTCTGATGGAATGGATGCCGAGTTATGTTCCTTTTGATTTCTATGATTCCAGGTTAAAGTTTTCATGCAAGAGAATTATCTTGCCAACTGGATCCAGGTTCTAACTTGACTCTGCCTCCACTCGAGCTTCGTTGTAGTTTCATGATTAGTTGTGTGGAACTCATTATGAGAGTTTCTATTTAATTTAGGCACTGTTTAATTCATTGCCACCGGAGGACTATAAGAATGGAGCGTTGGTTTTAGGAGGCGATGGCCGTTACTTCAACAAAGAGGCTGCACAGGTTAGTTTTCAGTTTTCTATAAGCGATAATTTCTGTTGTTCCAGTCATTTTGTTCTCAAAGCTGTTTGCCTTTCTGATACAGATAATCATCAAAATTGCGGCTGGGAATGGAGTTGAAAAAATTTTAGTTGGACAGTGAGTTTCTTTAGCTAGAAAGTTTTCTATACCTGTTTTCGTTGGTGTGATACGAACTGGGTTGGTCCTTTTTTCATTGGTGTGATCTTCACGAGCGGCTGATGTATATAGTAGTTGGAATTGGAATATGTTGGTGACATATTTTTTTCTCTATGAAGGTTCTAGAACCAAGTCAACCTTCGTACATCATGATTAACTTGGCTTTTTTGGATCTCTTTATTATTTCCTCGTTTAGTTTCCATTTTCCTGGTCGTTGTGATTTCTGTTCTTTGTTACCTCAATAATTAACTACAAAACTTGTAGGGATGGCATTTTATCAACACCAGCAGTTTCTGCTGTGATCAGGAAAAGACAGGCAGGCCTTTCTACTACATTTGCCTCCGTTTTTTCGGTAGAAGTTTTAAATCATTTTCCATAACTCTTGTTATTAATTGTTTTGGACAGGCAAATGGCGGATTTATTATGAGTGCAAGTCATAATCCTGGTGGGCCTGAATATGACTGGGGTATCAAGGTAAACTGTTAGTGACATGTCCTTCCAGATAAATTTAATGAGTTTAGCTTATTTTTCTTGGTTGTTACCGTATCTTTCCAGACATTGCCATTTGCAAAAAAAGTTCAAGATGTCGTTTTGTATTGGTGCCCTGTAGAGACATGCTTTTTTTCTTCAATCTGTTCCTGTCACGAGATGTAGGTGTTTTAGACTACGTCTTTCTCATGAAATTATTTGTTTGCATTTTATAACTTTGCATAAATGACTCATTGCAATTTCTAAACTTTTTGCAATTCCCAGTTCAATTACAGCAGTGGCCAGCCTGCTCCTGAGACCATAACTGACAAGATTTTTGGAAATACCCTCTCAGTAAGTACCTATTTATCTGAGAAGGAAGTTACTTTTCATGATTCATTGATTGGATTTCGAGCCAAATATTCCCTTAACTAGCACTAGAAATCGTTGTTTCCTTTACTATTTTTTTATTATTTCAACCTCTGAGCTCTGGAATATGTGTCTAGATTTCTGAGGTTTTGGTGGCGGAGATTCCCGACATAGATCTTTCTTGTGTTGGAGTTACCAAATATGGGAGCTTCAGTGTAGAAGTTATAGATCCAGTTTCTGAATATTTGGAGCTTATGGAGGTAAGAAAACATATTGATGCTTGTTCTGTATCTTCTTTATTATTTTGGTTTGCTGTAAATTAGATGGATCCATTGTGTTCTGTGCAGAACGTGTTCGATTTTGATCTCATCAGAGGCCTTCTTTCAAGACCAGATTTTGGGTATGATCTTACATTGCCTTATAAATTTTCCATGTCTTTTTTGTTATGTTTTTCGTAATTTCTGCCTTTTGTCTGATTTCTAACTCCTTTGATGTACTATGAAGTGGGACCACTCTATGACTTGCAATGCTGTATAATATTGGTTTCTGTTCCGTTTCCCTTGCTTTTAGGTTCATGTTTGATGCCATGCATGCAGTTACTGGTGCTTATGCGAAGCCCATATTTGTTGATAAGCTTGGAGCAAAACCTGTAAGTTCTGCACATAATATATGCTAAAAGTTAGTGAATATGACTTCCAGAAATTTCAAATCATTGATGTTAGGCAGGTAATGTAGGATTCAATCTCAAATGGAGTGCCTCTAGAGGATTTTGGACATGGCCATCCAGATCCTAATTTGACGTAAGAGAAACAATCTACTTAGAGTTGTTTCAGTGCTAAGAATCCTGACTTCTTGGTTCTTTGTTGCAAACAGATATGCAAAGGATTTGGTTGACATTATGTATCGTGATGATGGGCCTGATTTCGGAGCAGCAAGTGATGGTATGATCAGTGACAGAGGAGTCTCTCAAGTGTTTCTCCTTTTTGTAGCTTGATCAATATGCTACATGCATCATCTGCTCACAGGTGATTTGTGATAGAAATAGTAACTTTACTGGCCTCTCATTGTCCTACAGGCGATGGTGATAGAAACATGATCTTAGGGAAGAATTTTTTTGTAACTCCGTCAGACTCTGTTGCTATCATTGCCGCCAATGCCCAAGAAGCAATTCCATATTTCCGAGATGGTCCTAAGGTAGGATGGTTTTAGCGTTTAGTCATTTCTTTTTCCTCTTGTGGATATCGTTCCATCAAATTAATCGCATTACAATCTACAATCTCAGGGATTAGCTCGATCTATGCCAACAAGTGGTGCTCTTGATTGTGTTGCCAACAAGCTGAAGCTTCCCTTTTTTGAGGTTAATCATCTCTGGGTTATCAGATATCTTTCAATTGTGCGATTTTGAGAACCAAATACTTATAAATAAAGGTTTGTTTTGTCTAGGTTCCCACTGGATGGAAGTTTTTTGGAAACCTTATGGATGCAGGGAAGTTGTCAATCTGTGGAGAAGAAAGCTTCGGTACAGGTTCTGATCACATCCGTGAGAAGGATGGCATATGGTATTCCCCTCCTAAATTTTATGATGACTCACACTAGGTTGGGTGTGATATGAGAACCAATCCATGATAGGGAATCGGGATCTCCCAAAGAACATGATGCACTGAATTCGGTTTTCCAGATCTTGGAGCATTTCTATCTTAAGTGAATTTGAGCCATTGCAATGTCATGCCTGTTGGATTGATATTTTGTGGGCTGTTGTCTCTGAAATCCTCATTGAATTATGGTATCTGCTAGATCAATAGCTCTTGCCTGAGATAAAGACCTTATTTTGTTGTGAATTTGAGCCATTGCAATGTCATGCCTGTTGGATTGATATTTTGTGGGCTGTTGTCTCTGAAATCCTCATTGAATTATGGTATCTGCTAGATCAATAGCTCTTGCCTGAGATAAAGACCTTATTTTGTTGTGTAAGATTTCAATTTCTCATAGTTGTGTGACAAGGTGCTCGCTTCTTTTGATCCTGGCTTAAAACTCATTTTCACAAATTTTCTACTGAGTTGGCTCTTCATCTCTCATTCCTAATTTAAGATATACCTAAGCTCTCATTTCCACTTTTGAATGAAACCGTTCAAATGAAAGGGCTGTGTTGGCGTGGCTTTCAATTATTGCAAACCGAAACAAAGACAAGAAGCCAGGGGAGAAGTTGGTGTCTGTTTCAGATGTCGTGAAAGAACACTGGGCAACGTATGGGAGGAATTTCTTTTCCAGATATGACTATGAAGTAAGAGCATCAGATTAGCAAATCCAGTGACTGTAAATGCATTTAGATCTTGAAGCATGTGGTTGAGTGCTTGTTTATGTAAAACCCTTTAATTTTAATGTTTTGAACTTAGGAATGTGAATCTGAAGGGGCCAATAAAATGATCGAGTATCTTAGAGATCTCGTGTCTAAGAGCAAGCCAGGTGAAAAATATGGTGAGGCTCATACTGAATCTTTTCTTTTTTCGCTTCTTCTTCACATTTTCTTGTATGTTAATGTTATTGTCTATATCTGACTTTTTATCTTAGGAAACTATGTCCTGCAGTTTGCAGATGACTTCTCATACACTGACCCAGTAAGTCTGATACTCATTAATGTTATCGTTTTCCATTGGAAACTCTCAAGAAACAAAGATATTCATGCACTTTTCTTCAGATATACTGACTAGGATCATATACCATTGTTTAGGTTGATGGAAGTGTTGTCACCAAGCAGGGTGTTCGGCTTGTTTTCACTGATGGATCCAGGATCATATTTCGGTTATCAGTATGTCGACGCTCTTTCAAATTCAGGGTTACGTATTTCTATGTTTTGTCCTCATCACAGTGACACGGCCAGCAGGTGCTACCGTTCGAATGTACATTGAACAGTTTGAGGCAGATGTTTCGAATCATGATATAGACGCCCAAACAGCTCTAAAGCCTTTAATTGGTTTGTTCTTATTCCATTTCTCAAAAGTTGCTGATGCCAGTTTTAGTTGGTTAACGACTTGCTCCATCATCATGTTCAGGTTTGGCGCTGTCTGTATCAAAGCTGAAGGAATTCACAGGAAGAGAGAAACCTACTGTCATTACATAAAGCTATTTATTCCTCTTCGGCTCATCTTTGCCCTTAGCCCTGCTGCGAGGCAAGTTGGTTTCCCTTTATTTTTTACCTCGTTTAGTCCTGTAAATGCTCCATGTTCAGTTTGTCTGCCACGCAGCCTGAAAATTCTGGAGCATTTAAGTACGTATTTGTGGCATATAATTGAGGAGCATTTTAAGTTCGTACTTCGTAGTTGTAACAAATAATTTGTATACTATTTACAGAAATAGAACCTGTCCTATTTTTGGTACTAGTTAGAAACAAAATCAAGCCAGGAGAATGCTTGATCGATACACGATTTATTTTCATATTAGAGCTGTGAGTATTTTGTCATCATCCGGTACCCCAATACCCGTGCTGCGTCAAATCATAGACATACATCTTTATATGATTAAAGCCTGTGCATTTGCGCGACAAAAATAAGAGTATTACGTATGCCTCTAGGTTCCGCTTCTGCTACTTGTTATTGGACACCTAAAACTTTAACAGTTTCTATAGCTTTTGCTTCAAGTTGTTGGGGGTGTGAGGCCAAGGGAAGATTCAGCTGCAGAGGAAACGAATGGTAAGAAAGCCTAGAAGTAGCTTTTTCCATGTCCTTCCACTTTCACTGGTTCCTTTAGCTGATCAGTTTCCATGATAGACGCCATCTCCCAATAGCAGTTCCCGACCACGTTTTATGGTACAAGTAAGACTTCCATGAGAACTCACCCACATTGCTTTCACTAGGATATTTTCTCTTTCCGGATTTTGGAAAACAAGAAAGTAACAAAGAAGGGTATGGTGCAAAAGAAGGAAAAACCTCTGTTCCGAACTTTGTGCAGCACCCACTCACCACGAGCTATAACATGTCACTAGTCATGACAATCCCCTCTCCTTCAGACTTAGTGTTAGCACAGTTCTCTTCATGGATCTCTTCTCTTGTTCGCTCTTAGGTTTTCACATTGTCAAATCATCTCTCTAGCATGTGCAAACTTTATGATAGGATACTTTTATAACAGGGTCTCTCTATAGCATAATGCACTATGGTTTGGCTGTGGACTGTATGGGCGTAACTCAGTAGTACCATCCCTTTACAATTAATTAGCGTGTCGACAAGCCTTGATTCTTCTATCTCAGATAAACAGTTAGATTCTTGAGTATTCTGTTTCATTTTGTTCCATGTCGAGAGCTTAACGCTAATTAATCTTCTTATAATTGAGTGCAGCGGATTCACTCATTTGGTTTTGGTCTAGTATTATGTTATCTAAGATATTATGCACTTTAGCATGTTGATCAGCGTATTTTTACTTGAGAATAAATAGCGGTTATATGCTCTCTATGTCTTAGATGCAGACAGAGATAAGCTGGGATGAGCAGCAAAAGGGAAATCTGATAAGAGAGAACAGAGGACTGAATGGAAGAGAACTATGGTATAAATGATTCTCTGAACTTTTGGGGGCGTAAAATTATTGTTATTGGTAGTTAAGTCATTTACCATGCATTTAGGTTTTAAGGCATATATAATCAAAAACTTTATGGGGGGCATATATGCATGTTGCAAATCCCAATACCAGGAATAGTGAAAACAAAAGCTTAGGTGTCATGGCGAACGAGTCACGTCTTTTTCTTGGGAAAAATCCAGAAACGAGGATCTATTTGAGATCATCTCTGCCCCCCAACTTCTAGTGTCAGTAAAGAGTCTTCATCCACCAGACCAGACCCACCAGAAAAAAAAGATAGAAAGCATGTAATCTTTTCAGTGGATAAACAAGAGGATGGAACTGTGTCGTGTCCTAGTTGCGACGAAACCCCATGTTGAAACATTGTCATTCAGAAGGTCCAGCAGTGTTGCGTCTATCTGATTTCTCTCCTAATGGAGAGAGAGATACATATAAATAATAAACCTACCAACATTTGCCCCACCTTCCTTTATCCGTTTTGTCTTTATAGCAGCCCCACTTTTTGTTATTAGTTGCCCCTTTCAGTGGACGTCCATGTCTTCCGCCCCTTCTCTTTTCGTAGAATACCGATCGGTCTGTCCTCCGTTCGCCACCCACGAGACCCGTTGGTTCATCGGTGAGCGTTGAACATTGAACTAGCTAGGTCGTGAACCCTCGGGGAGTTTAGCCTTGGGTATTTAGGGGATGTATGAGAAAGAGAAGTTGAATTGTTGTTTGTTGTTGGAAGCTGAATGTAGAAAGGACAATAGCACAGACCCACTTTTGCCTATTTTTGTTCCTGTCTCTTGGTGGAAAATTATGCACTAATTAAGGCATTTAGCTGAAAAAACGTCTCTGTTTCTGCTGTGTGATTATTACAACCAACCAAACCAAACCAAGGTTGTGGGTTCTTGATAATTAGATTGTCTTGTCTTGTCTTGATCAAGTATGTTTTGCATTGTTTGGGGGACAAACTAAAAAGAAAACCCCATTTTGGTTTTTAAAACGTAGACTCTTGCTACAGACAATGCTTTTCTACTCGGATTTTGAATTTTTCCTTTCACCCCCCACGATTTCCCTTTTTTTTTTTTTTTGTGGTTCGTGTATGGAAAGTAACTTATATGAACTTTATACCCTCCCTTTTATACTTTCTTTTCTTCATCATCTTCTTCTTCTTCTTCACCATTTCATTTCGCTAATGCTTTTCCTTTTTCTTTTTTTTTTTTATTTATCATTGCTCTTTCATGTAATTTAGCCGTCTATATTTAGCTAATCACATCCTTACCATAGCACGACCCGTCACATTTTTTTATAGGCCTCTCTTGGGTTACTAAAAAAGGTTATATACACTTGTCTTTGTAATAGCGTATATTGGCGTATCCTATCATTATTATCATGATTTGCAGGTTTTAAGTTGCTCTAACAGAGAGTGTATTGACTTGGTGTGTGTAATCAATCAAACCCACTAAGACGCTAGTTGCCAAAAACATTGCGCTTTGACTTGGGATTTGATCTTCTCTGGTTCCACCTAAAAAATCACGAGACAGGGTGAAGATCTCATGTGATTTTGTACTACAAAATCTTCACTAACTGATGGTTCCTTCTTGCCCTTTCCAAATACCAGAGGTTATTTCCCCTCCCTCCCTCTCTCGTTTGAGAGTCTGCACCTCTTTTTCATTTAATCCGTATAGAGGGTTTAACAAGTTTTTTTTTTAAAAAAAAAAACACTGATTGTGAGATTGTGTCGGTTGAGATACAACCGCATTCTCAGTTTTGCAAACAAGCAGTTCAATGCTGTTTGCCGTAGCATAGACTTTGGATGTTATTAGTGATTGAATCATAATTGCCATTAATGAAAAAATCTTTTTCTTAAGATACGATAAGAAGACCAACATTGGTTGTTTTCAGTGCTACTTATGTAGTTGAACTTGTTCCACTTAGTTCGGGTGTTATCGCTTCCTTCGCGGATAGTGAGCACTGCATGTGCATTGTTTGTTCTAATATATGTATATGTTTGATTTATTCTCATACTTACTGCCTTGGAGCAGGAACAAACAACTAGATTGGTAAATGAGATACTCACGTGAAAGTTTCGATATTTCAACCGAAAAATATGTATCTGGAAAGATTGATTAAACCAACCTCATAGGTTATGGATTCTACATTTAGCTAAGCATACAGTCATTAACCTCAGAACTGATGGATGGATACAAGTTGTCTATCAGATAATTTGATTGGATGGCATTTTCAATACTGGCAGAAAATGGTGAATCATAGATAGGAAGAAATGAAAATGGTGATTAACAGAAATGGTGAAAGAAAAGTGACATAAGCCTAATGGAGTTTTGGAGGTAATAGAGGATGACGAAAGTGGGCTAAACATGGGATATTGGTTCCCATACCAACACTTCCCCATTAAAAGCAAATAGCACATTGCCTATTTTCTCTCTCTCTCACGCACCTTTGCTTTCTTTGTTTGCCAATGTGGCTATCTATGGCCCCTTCCCCCTCTCTCCAAATACACCTTTCTTTTGTCCTTTCCTCCGTTTGTTTCGAGAGAGAGAGAGAGAGAGAGAGAGAGAGAGAGAGAGAGAGAGAGAGAGATGAAAAAGAAAATGAAAAGATCTAAGACTATAAGACGAGAAAGTAAGCTCCACATATTAACTCAGTGGAACCCTCTCTTCGAATACGGCCAAAGGGCGTTGGGAACGTCTGTCCTGCCAACTATAAAAACAGACAGCACCATGGATCCACTGATTAAGCTCTCATCACAACTATATTATATTATTATTTCTTTCTATTTTTAATACCGAAATTCCTTATGAACTTAGCAGATCATGGATTTGTCCAAATCTTGGATTAGATGGGATACGATAATTAATAGGATTTAAAAGAAACCGGTTTAGAAAGCCGTGATAATTGAGTTTATTGAGTCGAGAAATTAGATTTTGCAAGTTAAAATTAGTTAGTGATTGTATACGTACATTTGAATCCACATAATATAGAATTTTGAGTTGGTGAAATTAACATAATGTTATTTAGGTGGTGAAATTAACACAACTGGCCATGCACCAATCAAAGCCAACGGTTTCTCAAAGATCCGTTTTTCCCCATAAATCATTCATTCACAAATAGTTTGAGTTCCCGCCATTAAAAAAAATGAACACAACATGAGTAATAACAAAGTATGTTTTTTTTTCTATTTTATAAAAAAAAAAACTATTTTTTTTTTACATCTGGTAAGCCCTTTCATGCAAAGAAAATTAAAATAAAAGAGATCATGATTATATAAAATAAAAGAAGATCGAGGTGCACTCTTGAGCATCTGTGTTTTGCTTATATATATAGACCTTAGAGAACCTTTGTTTCCGTATCTCCCCAACAAGACCTCCTTCACTCTTCTTCTTCTTCTTCGACAAAACCCAAAGAGAAGAAGCAGAAACTCTCCGGAAATGGCGATAAATAGAATAACGACATCTCCCCACAAGGAAAACAAACCAAAACATGATGAAGAAGATGACAGTGATCATGTCCAAACATCATTAGTCTTTAACCCTTCTCTCCTTAATCTCAAATCCGACATCCCAAAACAGTTCATCTGGCCCGATTGCGATAAACCCTCCATTGATGCACCTGAACTCGACGTTCCCTTCATCGATCTCGGCCACTTCCTCTCCAACAACAGCTCCTCTTCCTCTTCTTCCACACTTCAAGTCTCGAGGCTTGTTGCCGATGCTTGCAAGAAACACGGTTTCTTCCTTGTCCTCAACCATGGCGTGGAAGAAGACCTAATATCGGATGCCCACAAGTACATGGACCGATTCTTCGACATGCCTCTTGCCGAGAAGCAGAGAGCGCAGAGAAAAGCCGGATAGCACGCCCA